AAAATAATATATGTATATATATATATATATATATATATATATATATATATATATATATGTGTGTGTGTGTGTGTGTGTGTTTGCTAGATTCGCATGTAAGCTCCATTTGTCTTTTATGTTTCTACCATTATTTTAAAAATGTCTTAGATAAATTTGAGCACCACGGTGGTTTTGATTGCAGCTTTCCACCTTAACAAAATCCTGAACTGTGACTCAACTTATATTTGCCTTAATATTTGTTCTCTTGAAATTAACTTTCTCTAGAAAAGCATGTACCTGTCCGCATAACTTATGTTGTTATTATTAAAATTCAATTAAGTATCGATGTCCTCAGCACCCATTTTCAAAGTACAACTGCTATAACTTTTAATTAGAATCACTGCTTTAGTAGAAGTAAATGCAGGCAATAATTCTTTCTATCCTCAATATTTCGTGATATTTCGCGGTTGATACCTTCTGTAATTTTGACTGCGTTTGATGTAATTGCGTCTACCTCCGGTATTTTTTTAGATTTGAGGAAAAAATGGCTGTGTCTACTATGGCTGACCTACTTAAACAACGAGAGCTTTGCCCGATTCACTTTATTCTACTCGATTTTTCGATTTACTCTTTGCTGCATTACGTATATGACGTTTATGTAGGCCGCATTGATTTTAACAGTAAGACGAATACTAAGCTAAGCGTAGAAATTGCTTTAGCCTGGTTCGTCGAGTAAGAGTTTTGTGCGCAACTGCCAACTCCATTTAGTAGAAACCTGAGTGAACGCAATCAAAAAATTCGCACATTTTTGAGGCAAAGTCATGACAGATAAAAAAAGGTCAAATTGCTAGCAAGAGGATACATTTATCATGAGTGTCCTGAGGATACCTCTAATGATATTACCTCTTAACTCCAAATATGCAGTAACTTTTTGTTTAAAAAAACTTAAATGCGAATATAATTAGAACGAGCATATTGACGCTAGTTCATAAAAAAAGATTTAAAACTGTATATATTCATAATATCAATGAATGCAAGTGCTGTGTTAACACATGCGATAAACAAATATATCCACACACCTCTTCACTTTTCCGTATGTGATAGCTGGCTAAGGATTTAAAATATGTGTTTGATGAATACTCGGTTGGTTCTTAATTTTTAATAGCCCTCGGATCGTCAAAAGAGCCAATCGCCGCAAATCAACTTAAAATATGTCATATTGAACCTTTCCTGCAGCGAATAACATAAATGTTGCATAAAATAAATTTTTCCTATTAAGCCACAAAATATTTTTTGAAATTAGTGTGTTAAAAATTGGTGATCATGAATCGTACTTCATGTAATGGGATTGAGATTTTCGTGTTTTAAGCTACCACTTCTAGCGTCCCCTAACGGTTAACGGTGACCCTGGTTGTGTTTGTGAGTGATAATTTCGATGGTTCGGAGTAAGTCATCAAATAGACATTTCTTATACCAGCAGTTACTGAAGATTTGGTTCGCAAACGTTCAGAACATAATGAGGGTGAAATATTTAGCCTAGAAGAACTAACGCTTCATCAACAAGATATTGAGAGGTAATTTTCACTTTCTCTTTATATTCGCAGAATTGAGTTTCTTGACAAACATTGCAAAAAGCTCCGCATTCTATATCTTCAAAATAACCTTATTCCAAAAATAGGTTTGTGCTGTCTCTAGTAACATATTTCTAGAAAATATTAGTCGTTTAAAGGAATTGGAATACCTCAATCTCGCTCTCAATAACATTGAGGTAATTGAAAATTTAGAGGGTAAGTTGTGATTATTGGTTAAGGTTTAGGTTGTGAGTCCTTAAAAAAACTTGAATTGACTGTAAATTTTATTGGCGATCTCACAAGTGTGGAAAATTTAATAAACTTGGAAAATCTCGAGGAACTGTACTGCCAATATTCACATAACTTGGTGAAGTTATTTAGTGGGAAATCCTTGTACTGAGTACGCTGGCTATAGGGAATACGTTATTGCAACACTACCTCAACTGAAAGTATGAATTTTTAATACATGGCAACGTAAGGTTTTAGATGGTGAGGAAATCGGGAAGGCCGAGCGCATCATTGCTTTCCAAAATCTTTCTGCGCACTACAAAACAATTTTGCAGTCACAAAAAGCATATTTTGCTAAACGAGTAATTATTTTAACAATGTTGGTGTATTCAGGCTCGCGACAAAAAAATGTCCGAAGTTCGAAAACAGCATTTTTCAAAAAAACTTGAGGAAAGTGATGGGTATGAATAGCTACCTCTTTTTATTTGTTAAGTAAATAAGTTTTGTGTTGCTGTGTTCTATTCGTAGTTTATCGTTTTATGCACCTTTCATAACTCTTTAATAGTTATTGTGATATTCTGCATGTAACATCCTTTAGGTATTCGCATCCGTTTTTATTTTTAAATCATCATTGATAGCTAGTTTGCTTTTCATTCATTCAAATGGGAGTAATTGAACAGTTTTCAGTTTCTATACTCGATGTTGCACTCATTCGAAGGTTGTCACTTTCACAAATCCAAAAACTATTCGATGTAAAGTAGTAGGATTTCCTAAAACGGCACTGAGCATGCTAAGCATGTAGGTTTTCAAAGGCATTTACAAGGAAATGTCGATGCCTGATCAAATTTCGATATTTTTTTCCTTAAAATAAACGAAGCTCTCATTTCAGTAAAGATATATTTTTAATTGCTGGTTTGTTATACGGCGTGCCATATGAGAACAAGTAACCAGTGTTACCGAAAACTAAATATACGAGCCGTTTGGTAGACATGTCGTTCAAACAACAATTTATAGCAATCATTATCGTTAAAAATTCACCCTTCAGTACGTTTCCCCTGTCCTCTTTAGTGACATTGACAAGATAGCGGAGGAATTTTGGCATGAGAAAAGCCCCTACACACCGGAGTCACGAATTGAAACTTACGAATTCATTCAGCTGCAGAAAGAGCGCCGACCAAAAACAACAACAATTCAGTCTGAGTATGATTTTTGGGATTTTCATTGCGCGTCACTTTTATTCTTTTTTTTGTAATTTACTCCTTATTTTTTTGTCTCTTCTTTCCTTACTGGTTGTCTCGACAGATATTTTAATCATTTTGCGCCAAAGCTAAAAGTGTTTGAGTTTTAAATTCAGTAATTCGGATATTCACTGGCCTCGTTAAACACAAATACAGTTTGTGCCTAACTTGAAGCAACTGAATTTCAGTATCTCTATGTGGAAACTTACATGATTTCCGGTCATCTACATCAACCAGTACTTAATCGCTCAAATTGCGCGTTTAAAGAGTATAAGAATAACTACCCTATTTATTGATTATTTGTGTACTTCAAACACTTTCCCTCTGCAACAACTTTTCATAGGACGGAACCGAAACCCAGGCGAAAGGTTTTTTTTGCAGAGGACGGCCGCCCTTACAACATTAATGAACCAAAGTAAGGTTTCAGTTAAAAAAAACTGTTTACTTGTTTTTAAAAAGTGGTCGTCACTCAGTGTCTTTAGTGCTCAGGTGAAAACCTACTTTCTCTGTTAATTCACGCTACTTAATGTTGATTTAGTAGTAGCTCTTTACAAAGTACTTAATGTTCCCTCTCGGCAATCCCAATTTCCCATTTGGGTGGTGTTTACACGTAACATAATTTTCAACGCGTATGACGCATTAACCGCAGTAGAATGTGACTGGTACCGTTGTTTTACACGATTCCAGTCCGAACTTTATTGCCCTCAAATCACTTCGGTGTTTGCTCTTCCGATAAGTTTGGTCTATTTGGAAAGACAACTTGGAGCACGTTCTAGCTGTTCCTTGAGTGGCTGTTAGCCCTCAAATCCTGCAACTGGGTGGTCTTTCGTGTGCTTGTCCCCAAAATACCCCCTTCCTCCCCTATTTTCGCATAATTTTGTGTGATTTAGTAACTTTCTGCTGACAAATTGTTACATGTGGATTGTTATTTTCCTTAATTAGAGTTGACTTTAAATTGTACGAGGAGCAAAAAGAAGACGGTCAGTACTTCATCCTGGATCTTGCTGCATTCAAGTGAGTTCCACTCTCTCTCTCGTGTAAATTGTATTCATCGGTGTTCTAAAGACAATCAGCGTCCTGAACACTGATACTCAATTTGGCTTCATACGCCAATCGTTTGAGCCGACTTCCCAAGCTCCTGTGCCTGTCTGCGCCGCCCCCGAACAACTTCTAGCTGGCGGTGAATCCCTTTAGTCCATTTTCATCATCGTTGTTCACGCGTGTCTGGATTCTTAATGCTAGTACCTGCTCCTCAATTGTGACCACGGTGTGATCAACGGTAGACTTCTATGTGCTGATGATCCAAGACCGACCGGCACGAATTCGGTGTAAGCCTGATCTTGTGATCGATCCTTTCAACGCAAAATCGACTCCCAAGACGTTCTGAACTTCTGGTCAAGTCTGATTCATTGAACTCTTGCCGAAAAGCTCAATGGTCTCAATCTTACTCGCTTACGGCCCACCCGCACCGTTTATGAAAGCAACTTTACGGTGGTGACCGCAAAAAACTTATCTTTACGCACACACCCCACTATTCACACCCCGGACACATCTGCACATTCACATGCAAATTTGTGTGTGCAAACTCTCGTTGCTTCCTCTCTTGCATCTGGGCATTTTTTGGCAGCCGCCAACAAGCAATTTTAACATGCTTCTTCACTCACTAAAGTAGCAATTGATTTAATGGAAATAGCGTGTGAAAAATGCATTGGACTGAGCAGTTTAGTAACCAAATGTCTCAAAATCAACAATTCATTTGTGGGGTTGGGTTTGCGGGAAACCACGTCCCCGAGGATCCTGTATTTTTCGCTTTATCTGGCTACCACAGATGTGAATGTGTGCAATATGTGTTGAACCTTCGCATATATTAAGGGAATTTACCGAATCATATGCCCTTATAGTCGCAATGATTTGGGGTATGATGTTGACAGTCTATGCTTTCTAGAAACATGGACACCAGCTTGATCGACTGTGATGTGCAGGCAAACTACGTTCGTGTAATGCTGAGGAACAAGGTATGCTGCGTCTCTGTTTTATTCCATTGCATTTCGATGTAATCTAAAGCACGCTTACCAATCAGCATGCGACACCACTTGTAGCGTTTGCATTTTTAAGGTTTGATTTCAATCTGGCAGAAATCTTAGCTAATTCCCCCAAAACTGTCCCACTGCCTGAATGCCCGGCCCCAACTTCTCTAAATTCACTTCCAAGGTGTTCCAATTGGCCTTGTCAGAAGAAGTCCATCCAGACAAATCCACAGTTCAGCGATCTCGAGTGACCGGCCGACTTCTCGTCCGAATGCCAAAAGTCAAGGTCAGAGTAATTTTGATACGTTTGCGTGTTCCAAGTCGGTCCTGCTGTTTTTCTGTTCTTCAGCATTTCTTCTCTTACCACGTTGATGAATATTTAAACCTCAAGCATGTGCATAGTACTCTAACCACCGCCAGTTTATGACTTGATTTTTACAGATTTTTCAGCAAATTTATTTAATATAAAAAATAGAGAACAAGGAACTCAATCGTGGAAATATTTTCCACCGATTTATGTGGATAATAAAGTCATCGATGAATTTATGCACACCGTCCAACGCCCTGGACTGTCTATCCACTAAGGCTGCTGCTTTTTCTGATCGCGATCTTCGCTCAGTTTGTTGAATTGTCGCCTGTGGCGTACCGCAGCCACCGTCTGACCGGTTTCCTTGACTTCGTAATGAAGCACACCCTCCATGTCCCACCAGACACACTGTCGAGCCGTCGACGTACTAGGGTGTCTGGGATCTACCCACGACGTCTCACGTCTGGGATTCTCGTCATCACCCGTCACAATTGTCCGCAAGAAGTCCTTTTTATGTTGCCGGTGGGCAAGCAGTGAAGGGCATGTATTCATACGTCGACTTGGGCTGTGTTCGGTCAACACATGTCATAACCGAATTCCACGTTTTTGCATTTTCCCCATTTGGTGGTGCAACCGCTTGGAAATGGCTGCTCGGGTGACCACTAAGTGAGCTGCGGGCTCTTGTTATATTTGAGTTGAGTATTCAACCAGTAGAGCCTGCGACTTACGCATCTTCAAACTTTCGTGGCTGTCCGGGGAGCGGCTGGTTACCAAGATCAAAAATCAATACTTCGAAAACGTGTGTACTTACAATCACACGTTTCATAAGACAGCGCTGGTATTACGTTGCATTTTCCTCTTGATAGAATTTATACAGAACGCAGGGCACAATGTGCTGCTTACCTGTTGCTACCGCAAGCTCCATTATTCTGCGGGGTTATGCAACGGTGTTCTGAGATCTTGCGTAGGATGCTTTCAAAACCACAAACGACACCAAAACTACTTCTATTTTAAATATAATTTTAGGCTCGAAGACAAAATCTGTTAACATTCCGTCATACACCTTATCCCTTGGCCGAATTGATGGTTAAATATTATAAATTCTCTTTGTTCTTATTGGACCAATTCCCTTCGTTGTAGGTCTCCGCAATAATTGAGCCAGCAAGTACAAAAACAAAACGCGCCACAACCATTTTTAAGAAATCAGAAAGCAAAAAGTGAGCTTTTGTTTACATCACTTAAGCCTTGGTAAATTGCTCTCTTTCTTGGCCGGGGCATTAATTAGAAAGAAACGAGAAGGGTAACAGTGAATCATTTTAATTACAGAATACTGTCTTTATCGGAGCACATTCAGTGTGCTTCAAATTTGGTGTCGGGAATGAGAGGGAGGGAGGGAGGATGGGTGGGTGGGGTAATGTTAGCACAGTTTGTTGCTCTTTCCTTCCTGCTGCCCAAAATTGATGTACAATCCAATTGCTGGCTTTCTTTATTCTCGAATATTTATGATCTAGCAAGCATAACTCTGCAAAATGCGGATCGTTTTACCGAATTTAATATTACAATTAATCGTTAATGAGAAAGTGCAACGTCAGCTATGCGAAAATATCCCTGGATTTTTCATCATTGACACTGAAGTGTTTGTTTAAACTCGACCTTCTTCCTCAAGGTCATTGGTGCGCTGTGTAATTGATTAGATTACGCTTTGGCCGGTGTCTTGTTGGCAAAAGCCTTGAGAATCCGGTCTTTTAGCCTCCTCCAGTCTTGCGTCCTTTTTTTTGTTTTAACAGACGTGTTGATTCATTCATTCAAAAAATCACTTAATTTTAACTCCATTATTCCCAGCCTCTCAGTGGCCCTGAATGGCTCACCTAAACAACCATTTTTCTTGACCTTGGAAGATGACAATTCCACTGACGTAGCGACTCACTGAACACCGTAGCAACCAGGATTTCAAATATCCGCCTCTGGTTGTAATGACTTACTTCCGTTTTGAGTAGCCCTATATTCCATAAAACCGACTGATGTTTCGGCGATTTTTCAGGGATGGCTTATCAGTTGAAACTTGGCTGAAAAGGTCTATTGCCGTTCCTACATCCACCACCGAAATATGCATTAGACAGGGTAGTCTTAAGCTCATTACAAGGCTTATTGGACAAGCCAGTTCAACTGTTGTGGGCCCCAGCATGTGGTCTTGAATCACGCGGGGGCCACGGAATCAACCCTGGCTCGATTACGCTTGCCTAATACCCGCGATGAAGAAAAAGACAGGAGGGGACGTGGACACTACCATTTACTTCAGAGCTCAAACACGTTGGCGTCGTTGTGTCGTGTGCGGGGTTTGCACGTGTGTTTTTATACCTCGGATGTGTGAGTCATACATGCGCTAACATCGAGACCTAGGTGTGGGGATACTTCAAGATAATTATTCGTGCTAATGAAGGGGGAGTTGAGGATTCGCGCGGCTGGCGACATGCTGCGAAAAGGGGAACCCTGTGTAGGAGGTGGAGCGACCGGATTAAGGGTTTGAACAAAAGCGATTCACAACACAACCATTGAGAAACTGATTGTACATTTAACGGTAAACACCTTACAAATCGTTGACCTTTACGCGGTTTTGGTAAGCATGCAGTTTTGATCGTTAGCTTTCTGAACACTCATTTGCCCTCGTCTTCATTAAGGCAATCCGAGGAACAGACGGCAAATTTTCTGGACGTTGACGACACCAAGTCCCCGGTGGACTGGCGGAACATTACGAATTCTGGAGATAGCCGTCCAAGAGGAAGCCTTGGCCCCAGTCGCAAGAAACTACCTGCTGTCCGAAGTGAAAGAGAAAACAGCCCCAACTTTGTTGACGATCCCGACGTACCACCTCTTATTTAAAAACGCAGTTTCTATGCTTAGATAAAGGCCTCAGAGTTTTTGTATATCTGGAGTTGAATTCAATAATTTATCCCCACCTGTAACTGATTTGGTCATCGTTGCCAGCTTTGAGCTCGTGTCCAAATTAGCTCCGACGTGATTGGTCATCACTTGAGTACAATTCAGGTAATTACAAACCGCATGAATTTGGAAACGTGAGCCAATCGCCATAAAAGTAGTTCCAAAATGATCCCGAAAGGTGTAGTGGTGTTATTTTGTTTTTGTTTAGACTTAATTTACCCCAACTATGCGTCTGACTGGGGAGTTGGCCTCAGACACGAGGTTTTTCGAGTGTAGTTGATGCCTGCGGTGAAGCCACTTAGCCCCCTGTCGCTCGGCTCCTCGCCTCTCGCATTAAATATTCACCACATCGACCTCAGCGTGACGGAAGGGGCACTTGCGTGTCTGCCTTAACCTCTCATTTCAAATTCATGCTTGATTGACAGCACTTGGGCAAATCTTGATAAAAGGCAGTCTCGTGCGTGTATCTGTTGGCCACATGATTGACGTCGAACCTCATTGGTCCACAAGCTCCGCGCATGTTCAGAGAAGCGACCGACTGGCAAAGGCCACCGAAAAGTTGTTTTTTTTTTAATCTAAAATCAATCTAAGATGAGGTTTCTGTAGGTGGGACTAATGGAGGAAGTTCGCTTACTTAGTAATTTATCCGTTTTTTTAAAGCATCAGGTATGTAAGGTATATAAGGTATATATATCTAAAGAAGTGCACTGTGGAATTCAGGAAACTCGTTAGAAAAGTGCCGGTACTAGTAAAATCGACAAAGCGATCACAATTCGGCTTTTTTGTTGGCAAGTCAACCCCAGCTCAAGAGATATTTGCTGACACCTAAAGTCCGTTTATGTCGTGATTCCTTAGCAGCCTCATCCATGGCGGCATGCTTAAGTTCCTTCACACCAATTTCTTGTAAAAAGACAAAAAACTACCCGCTATAATGACTCCTTTTTACAGCAGGAACGACGTGACACCGATGGTTCTCATGTTAATCTACTTGAAATGAGTCCAAACTAGTGTTAGTGGGCCCCAGCATGTGGTCTTGAACCACGCGGGGGCCACGGAATTAATCCTGGTCCGATTACGCTTCTCTGATACCAACGGTGAAGAAAAAACCGTGGAGGACGTGGACACAACCGTTTACTTCAGAGACCAACCGCGTTGGCGTCGTGTCGTGTGTGGGGTTTGCGTGTGTGTATTTATACCTCGGATGTGTGAGTCATACATGCGCTAGCATCAATACCTAGGTGTGGGGATACTCCAAGATAAATATCCGTATGAATAAGGGAGGAGTTGAGGATCCGCGTGGCTGGCGACATGCTGCGGAAAGGGGAACCCTTCGTCGGAGGTGGAGCTACCGGATTAAGGGGTATGAATAAGGGGCAGGTAGTGTGTTTTATCAGTGGGTCGCCACATTACAAAATGCATTTCTTACGTAACACTATCGCATTTACGTGAAACACCCTCAAGACACAGAGACTGTGTCAACCTACTGATTCACAATTTATGCATAACAAAAGCAAACGAACTGGGGTTCCATGTAGTGCTTTCCAATTAACTCGGCCCAAGGCTCACTGAGACTGACACGAGAAAATGAGGAAGAACTCACCAGTGAATACTCAATCACCCAACTCATCTCATCACTCGAGCGAGAAAGTGCTTTCGACAGCTGCCAAGACGATTACTTTTCCCTCATCAACTTCCTCTTTAGCTTATTACCTGTCCATCCCCCCCCTCGCCACCTGGTGACTTCCCCACCTCTCGGTGTTTCCCTCATTCCCTTCCCGCCACCACCCCACCCCTGCCCACACATCACGAGTTCGTTTTGGTCGTTGATGCATAATTTACTCACTGGAGTGTGTGTGTGTGCTTGTTGTGGCGAAGCAACCATTCGACTGCGGTGGGTGAGTGCAGTTTTGCGAGCCTAAACCTTCCATTTTAGCAATCCGACTCACGCGAGTCTCCGAAATGCACACTTGGCTACGTATGCCAACCGAAAAACCACAAAAAAATCCTCAAGTGGTAACACTGAGTTCATCAAGTAGATTTGGTGAAGCTTTAGGGTCTGGAGGGTTAGCTGGCTTGGAAACGACACCCGTCTCAACCGCTTGAAGTCCGTAGCCAAATCCCAGACGATTCTAATCAGCTGATATCTTCAGGCAGATGGTTTGGCATAAAGATATCCGAAACAGATTGTTCATTGACGCAGAAGTGGCTCAATATGCATGGTTTATTTAAGTCCTGTGCAATTACACAACATGATTTCTTGGGAATAAATGTTTTTTACCATAGCGGGCAAGAGGACATTGCAGACGGTTTTTGTAGTTTGGGAGAATTTAATGATGCCTCGCTTGGTTCTCAAATACCGTCTTTAAAATGTGTCTGTAAATCGATAAATGTGTATCTGCGTACACAAAGCATGATACCGTTTTGTGTTTCATGCTGCATGTTTTTATCGGCAAAATATTTGTAAATTATTGGTTCAGATTTTCACCATAGGGAACACTTCCTCACCAACTGTTCTACTGTAATCCATTCCGTCGTCTTACTTGATTTCTCAACATTACTGGACTTGTACAAACTCCGACTTAAACTGAAGCCTTAACTCTACTTGCAAAAAATTCAGCAGTTTGATTTGGGTCTGAGGTAATAATGACTTTGGTTCCTAAAGAGCAGAACCACAGAGGTCGGGTGCTTGTGTGGTTGTCTACACAACTCAAATTACAACGCCAAAACGCCAGGTTTCGCCTATACATTTCCACACCACTCACGAATTGTGGCTTCGTGGATGGGATGTGTCAATCTGCTGTTGGTTTTTCTCGCTATTAAACTACTCACAACCGCATAACGTGTGTGTTGTGTGTTAAGAAGAGTAACGAAAACGTTCATCAGGTTTTGATTGGTCAGTTTTTGATGACTCACAGACCCATGTGGGCTTGGACAGTGGTCGAGATACAAGCTGTGTCTCTTGCGTGCTCTAAATATTGGGTGATTGCAAGTGTTCCCGCCAGATTTGAAACTAAATTAGATGCAGCCAATTGACATCGAACAAATACTATTTATTAATTACTAATTTACTCGTCGTTTGTTTCTACAACTGACTCGCAAAGTTTTACAAGTTTCAGAATCACGTCTCTCCAAGAAAACGAAGGTATTTGTGATTTCTTCTAGGGAATCAAGCCTTTGTCAGTCGAATTCTTTTACAGAAAAGAAAAAAATTGAAACTCGGAAAGAGCGGTGTCAACGGATTATGACAGGTGCTGGAGAAGTTGGCATTTCAATTCACTGACTTCGAGTAGTGTCTGTCCGGCGTTGTCATGGTGAAGGAAGACGTCTTTTCGGTTTATGGAATTCTGACGCTGTGCTTAGATTTTAGTACACGGAAGAAGCCTGTAAAACATTACGCTTTTGTATTGCCACCACCAGAAACACAGCGGCACTTTCATTGGATGCATTAACTTGGCTTTTGTCACGTATTGTCCTCTTTTACTACCACCAAGACAGTCAAAAGTGTATGCTTCTGCAATCGACCAATAGTTAGATCCACAACGAAGGTCCATGAGAGTGTACAGCCGGTGTATTGTGCTTAAATTTCAACAGATCCCACAGACCCTAAATTCAACGACGACGTGTGGGACTGACGTGTGTGCCTCAAAGAAATGCATGAGGTGGAATGGACTCACGACATGTAGTCCAAATGACTTTTTAGGTGCTTTACTAGGGTGCAGATTTCCACTGGAGATTGACGAGGCCAACATTCGTTTAGCTTTCCAAGCAGCTACTCTGCTTCTAGCCAGCTTGATCAACCGTTTCGCCTCCTCATGAAAAACGAACAATTCGAGAATGCATTTCAGATGCCGCTTTGCCCGTTCTACAAGCCAATCACGTGTCGAAGTTAATTTAGTATGACTTCTGTATTAGCCTCATGATATTTTTACAAACACTACAGATGTTCTCGTCAACAAAAGGGTTTGATAACGCAAGAAAAGGGGAGAGTCACAACCCTAACCTGATATTTGTCGACTAAAACCACTTTAAATTGAGGAGACATCTGTTTCACGGTAAAAACACAGCTTCGAGTTATCGTGCTTGTTAATTTTTGCAAGGGAACGCCCAAAGTTGCTCTCCCACGTGTCCAGATGTCACTCAAGAGTCCGTAACCACAGCCAGCCATGGGTGTGACGACGTTTCCGAAAGATTTATTGAGTCCTCTCTGGGGACAGATGGGATGACCAAATTGAATGTGTGGTACCTTTACGGAAAAGCAGTAGTTACCAACCTCTGGCACGGCCACAAAATCTGACTCCACATTAACCGCTCCTAATGTGTTAGGGATCCACGATTCCCCAAGATTGCTCGTTGTTGGTTTCTGGCACTATTTACACCAATCCACTAACATGTGTTTTATTACGCTTTTTATCAAGTTAAGGTCAACCTTGACTCGAATTAGTTTGTATGTATGTATGGTTGTTTTGTGAGTTGTTTTATTTGAAATTCTACTGATGAACGTCTAGTCCGTGTAACTCACGTTGTTACTGGTAATCATGAGCATTTAAATAATACTATTCAGGATTTGCACAAGGCATATGCATATCTAAGTGGCTGAATAAATACACAATCAGCACAATTTAACTATCCATCTTGCGAAGGGTATCGATTAAGTGATTTCAAATTGGTAAGGCAAGCACTACCACAAACCCAGCGACCAACGTAAAAAATCACAATTTCACATGCTAACAGACATCCTTAGACTTCGTACAATAAACCAAAGACATTTTCTGTTCTCCAGTTCACCTTAGGGAGTCGGCAATCCTTTCCTGGTGGTGTAGACTGAGATGAAGAGAGGCTTCAGGCAAAGGCATGCAACCATCTCTGAAATCTAAAGTAATCAAAGCATTACTACCCAAGCAACCCCTTGTGTTTAGACAGATGTAAGTAGAACCAAATCGATCCACTGGACAGAGTCAACTTACGCGGAGATTTGAGGGTAATTTGTGAACTTCTGATTTGCTTCATGACTCATGAAAAAAATGTTAAATGTTTGGCCGCAACGAGTGCATGCAGTAATTGCTGTAAATCACTTAGCAGACTGATGTTAGTGGCTCAGATGTTTTAGTTCATCATATGCGCATCTACAATTCATCCTGTTGCAACAAAAATTTATGCAATCGGCTGCGTCACATCAAGCACAGGTGGTGTTATCAACTTCGTGGAGAAAACTTGAATTTATTTGTCTGTTTAATGGTAGTGTGGTGGGCAAGTGCCAGTGACAAGAGAGGGTGATGTAGAGGAGAGATTGCTTGCGTGTGTAACCTTTTTTCTTCTTTTAATTACCATGGCAACTGGCAACTCATTTTCCCGGTGACAATTAGGACTTGGAGTTCATTAAACGCCGCCTAACAAGCTCCTGTTGAAAAGTCTAATGGAGAAAAAGCCCTAAGGATGAAGATTTCCTGAGATTTGGGATGCGGCATTCTAAAAGCTAGCAGTTAAAGCCAGTGAAGTTAGGAAAATTAAACACACTAGGCGGTTGTGTTGTCCGCCTGGACAACGCTTTCCATCGGCTGCGTCGCTTCTCCGTTTGATTAACCAATGGGAAACCTTGGCTGTTTTTACGGTAACACCTTAAACAACTGTTGACGCCAGTAATCCTCTCCTGAATTCCACTGAAGTTAGCAGAACGGCGAGATAAAGTGTCATGTTCGACGTGATTTATCTCAGCGCGGTTACTAGCCTCTGTTTCTCCATTATGGTACAACAGGGAGTCCCTGTAGAACGTCAACACAACAGCACCGATTTCGGTTGTTAACAGAACTGAATTTATTCTTCTTGCTGAACAGTTTAGCTCACAAAACACCACTACGATGACTTGCAGTGACGCTCTAGATCTCCAGAAGGCTTCTCTGCGAATCTCGCACAAAAACCGCGCGTGTGGCTTGGCTCACGTGTCGTGACACGTGCCGCTTCATGTCCATCAACCGTCCTCGCCACGGCGTCCCTATTTGACCTTGAGAAACCGTCAGCTCATCCGCTCCCCCACGAGGCCCGTCGCATTCACCTGGCCGTTCAGCCATCTGTACTTTTGCAACTTCATCTAGCCTGTATCAAACGACAGCCTCATTGTGTCAGACACGATTATTGCGGGCAGTGGCGCACAGGCACAATCACATTGAGTTCGCTAGTAAACGGTCCTATCCACCGTCCCGGTATCTGAGTGGCTTAGATGGGCCACATGACCACATGCTGGGACCTTCAACACACTTCACAGTGTGATCCTAGCAAGCCGAGCGTAAATATTGAAATTTGAGAAGCCGTTACACCTCCGGATTTTTCTGGCTTGAATCTGTATGTGTACCATGGGCCAAAATTTGACGTGATTTTTTTACTCACTAGAGTAAACAAAAGAAGCTGTAAATTAGGAAGACGACTACAACCAAGCGGAAGTCAATTTCGTGTTTCAGGAGTGCACCCCCGTACACAACAGGAAACTGGTAACAATGCAGATTGTGTAAGCGACTACGAAATAATCAGTGTCAGGTGTCTTATTTACTCGAAGTCTTGATCTAGGAGAAGTTGACAGTGTTTTCGACACTTCGATTCTCGGGTTAACTACCACGAAACATTCTACGTTCAACGGGGATAACATTTTCGTCTATCGTTAGCGTGTCTCGCCAGATCAAGTAAATTTGCCTAACGCAAGATACACTAAGATCTCATTCAAAATTCTAAATCTCGACCAGCAAATGGAGATTCAGTTGTTTGTTCAATTCAAACTTTGGACAAATTCATTCTACTAACTAGACGATTGCCTTAAAGATCCAAGTAGTCAACCAGCCATTCATGTTAGTAAATATAATCTGTTAATTAAGCTGTGTGCCCTTCGTGTAGCCTTCATTCATATTTTACCGTTCAGCTATGCACCAAACTGAATTTGAAGGGATCTCTGACTAAACGCTGAAAAAACGAGCTCTTAGTTGACGCAACATTACTGCATTTTCTCCTACATCATCCACAACGCAATCGACGCATGCATTTTGGATGAAATGTCTACAATGGCCCCAAGATGAATACTTTTGCATTGGCAATGCAGAGTGATTAATCAAGGGTTGATGGCGTTTCTCCCGGAACTTGATGAATATCCTGTCAGTTTGGGGGCAGGAGTTGTTCGCAGTTCTCAGTGTGCAATGGAACAAATTTATGACAATTTGTGTCAGTGTGTGAAGCAAATTTACACACAAAACACGGCCATTTCTGGCGTGACAGCGAGCATTCTCATTGAGTTTCTCTTGGTTGCATCGAAATGAGAGTTTAAATGTCAACAGTGCGCGATTGAGGCAGCTAACTGCGAAACTGAATTCTCACACTGTAAGCCCACTGATATACTGTGTTTTGCGATGTAAATATACGCACTTTTAGTTTATCTCTGGTTAATTTTTACTAAATCTCATAGCCAATTGGACCGTGGCGTTTGGAATTTCCACAAAATACAAATGTAATTATAAAAAAACAATGAACTTACTACAAAATTACGCAAGTAAGCAGCGAACGTTGAAAGAATCCGGCAAACTGCACCCAAAATGTTCGGCCTAACTCCATCTTAGCTTGAAATAGACACATTTCTTGCGTTCACGGGGATCGTTGAGCTATTTCGCGGCATAATTACCAGTGGATTTTAACAAAAACAACCACTAACAACGCTGCTCTACCTGGTTGGACTAGGTCGAATGTTTGATTGACACCTACTTATAAGTCTTAATTTATATCATAAAACAACATGATTATAGACCGCATTTTATCGACTTTGTGGAGTACGAGTTTCGTGCAGAATGATGTGGTAGCTAGTTAAGAACGAACACAACTTGTGGTCCCAAACACATCGTCACTTAAAAAACAGTAAAATCTCATGGTAAAATTCAGAGCAAAAGACTCACCGGCAAAGTATTTAGGATCGTCCTCGCTAATTAGAGTGAAATCACCGTCTCCGTCTTCATGTGCCTCAGGTATTGCGCTGGAAGCAGAGAAATGCGGTACTCGCTGGATGTGTTCCTGCAAAATCGCGTCTGGATCCGGGATTCGTTGGTTTTTGTTGATCAACTCGGGCAGAAATCGTCGCAGTTTCACCCGCAGTCTTCGAAGTGCCAACCATGACTGCGGTAACGAAAAAACAGGCCACTTTACGCTTAAAACGTGTTAATCCTTAGTGTTTAAACATTTAGGGCATAGGTAGGCTGGTTTCCTATATTCTTAGAAATGGCTTTCTAGCACTTTCTGCTAATTATACATTTAAGCAGCTTAAATACCTCAGTGACATTCAAGAAGTCATAATATGGTGACTTTCAGAGCGAGAAATCTTCAAAACCAACTGCAACAATCCAGCCATTACTAGATATTCAAATGTTTACCACACATATTCGTTTGCAGCATATAAACGCGCACTCAAAGTACTTGTTTTACTTGTTGCGCAATAATGGCGGTAGTTTACTCCTGGTTTTTAAGCACGCCCGCCAACTTTACACTGCCAGATGCGGAAATTAACTTACTGCCATCGTCAAACTGAGTAGGAAAATTCACTTCTATCACTTAGATATCTAAGCGTATCAATTACTAACGTCGAAATCATTCGTTCTAATGAAGTTCATAGTCAAAATATTATGCACCTTATTTCACAAATACCAGGAAACTCATGTATTATAGCCAAGGTGGAGGGCCTATTCATTAACTCAGACCCATTCTGCAAATCGCATTTTACTTTCAACTGAGCCACAACAATGACAGTGTAACACTACTGGCAGTCACCTAATCTGTGGAGAAAACAAATTTGCCCCAAATACAAGAGAAGTTTTGTATAACATTCAATCTTTCAGTTCAGTAATGATTAATGTGAACGTTTTGTGGCGAATTGAGTTAGTCATTTTGAATAGAGTACATAATTACTCAACACTTATTTAAACAATCGGTTTCAAATGTTTCATCGATTATCTTGCTAGGCAATCGATTCAGACAAATTTGAGCTAATCCTTAACACCACCAACTTCAAGCTTTCCTTACATTGTACCTTGACGCTGACTTCGAGGACATTGTCTGAGACAGGTCGGAGATCCCCTTGTGGTAGTCTCCAAGGCGAAATAGATGGTCACCTTTACGGGGATGCTGTTTGTGTGCTGGAAACACTTCAGGAAGACTTTTTGATCGAGGATTCAATTGACTCCTAAACACAATTCAGGTCCACGATTACAACACTTCGTAACAATCCTGAACAGTCGAATTTGACATGGAATCAATGTTATCCAATCAGGTTTCACACCGTGAGTTGGGTTCAGTGTTGTTACAGTGAAAGCGGTTCGTGCCAGACTCTGTTACCGCCGTATTAGTCGATAGGGGATGGTGATAAATTAAAAGGCACCAGATAGACAGTAGCCTTAATTTGAGTTTTAAGTTAACGCCTGAAATTCTGCTAACATGGAAACCAGTCATTGCCAATGCTATACCACGCCTCCAGGACGCTGTTCCTAATCGGCCAGAGCGCTTACTACAACGAAATTCTTTCTCACGGCATTTTATTCTTGAAAAGTTTAGGATTTCGTTCATTCAGTACGTTTGTGGAATCACAACGCTTTTATTTTGCCTCTTAGGTGTAAATTAAGATCATAACCTTAACATTTGAGGTTCAATGTGCAACATAATAGCAAGATGACAGCAGAATTGGCTTATTTTAATCACCTTCAAAATGCCCGGCGTGATTTGACACCTCATCTGCCTGTACACATTGCTAAATGATTACCCCGTATCTGATAGCGAATCTGTTATATAATTCAGTGAATCCTCATGATAATGCATCAAGGCGGAGAGAGTCCTGGTAAAACTCGACTTTCGACAACGAATCTCTATGCAGACTAATATTCTTTTGCATCTACTCCAGTTACTGTGGTGCGTTCTTGATGAAATTAGACACTAGGGCCATTAGGGTTGTGGTCAAGACAGATCACCAAGCACTTCGTACAAACTGCTCGTTCTATCGTTCCAAGGGCCGAGATTCTGAAGCAAATGGAATGTAAAATTCAAGTGAATAAGGCCTGCATGATGCAATTCTAGAACAGCCTCGAGGTTCCATGGATTGTGTACAGCGGTGGCGCTGGTTGAGGTGGAACGGTTGGAGAGAGGCTTGACATGTTGCCGGAATTATGCTAGCAGCAAATATGCTAGAAAATTGTTGACCACAAGCATTATTGCTTAACGTAGTTTTTTTTACAGGTGGCAGAACTAAAGGAATCCACAGGTCAGTACTGAGGGGAGTAGAAAAAGGGCATGTGTGGGGTGGTGTCATGGGTAGTGTTGTTCTTTTAAGATTCGATTACTCAAGAAAATGTCTCGTGCTGGTGCCCTAAATTTCTTCTAAGTAATAATGCTTTTAAGATACTAAGCAAATGGGAACCTTTAGATCCAAAACCACTGATATTTAGCCCAGACATATTGATTAAAATGAAGAAAACAGTCATTGGTAGTGGGGTCGGATATGCATACAACTAAACCACTGTGACGTCAACTGTCAAGGCATACTTTAGTAGAACGAGGAAAACATTTTTTACACTTAAGAAAAACTTTGTACCAAAAAGCATTATGAAACGTCGGATTAGAGACGGATCGCTGCCTCCACTTGTTATGCTTCATCGTTCCTTTTAACTTACTTGCTAAGAACTCAGTTAACACGGATTTGAGCACCCCAAAGAAAGCCTGTAATTTGAGAGGAGCGTGTCGCTGTGGCAACAAAATTTCAGTTTTCGATAAAATCGAATTATACTGGGCGTCTCCAAAAAGCCAGTATGTTTCATGCAAAGCTTCTACACACAACCAGACACCAGCAAACGTCATTTACGATCTAATCATCAGCAATAGTTAGCTAGTGATACATAAACTTATTCTTTACCAATATCAGTCCTCTTTTGGCCTCCAGAATATATAAATGCCATAATCGCTCCAATTGATGTGTTAAGGAACGTCAAATTGTTCCTATCTTCCGGACTAACAAAATAGATTGTTGGTGGAATTCGAGCAAACCGACTTTTGCTTGGAACTCTCAATTCCAAGGGTGTCTAGTTCTATCCAAAATGTTTAACACAAAATGTAAAATAACACGTGGGTCAGATTATTTGGCCATAATTTCAATCGGTGCGTGAATTACGACAAACATGGAGAATTGATTAATTGAGTGAGATGTGTGTTCATTTGTCGCGATGTAAGCGGAATCATCAAATTATTTTCAACAATTAAAACGACCACGTATAGCCAATTGGTGGGTCCCAAGACAAGGTCACATCAGCGCCTCTTAATATAATTTGAATTCCATTTCTTTCTAGAAAAACACATCAAGTTTAGCCTTCCTTGAATTGTAGAAATGCTCCTGATTAAATTTGAGTGTTGGAATTTCATCTATTAAATAATTTAAATCAAAATGAGGTCTGCTTCCTATAAACACGCAGTAATTCAAAGGTTTCCTAATACCGTACCATATCACTTAAGTAATACTCAGCCATCTGTCTGTCAAGCAGGCAAATTTACGAAATTTTTCAAATCAGACTGTTGGTGAGTGGATTTCATGTAGCGGAAACACGAAGAAGGCACGATGAGGAGTGTTCGTAGAAATGTGAGTTATTCTTTCGTGGCAAATGTAGTTTATATGCGCGTGTTTGTAGATTACTTAGAACATCACACAAAAAAATTGGTTTCAATAAGAGTAGATTAAAATTTAATATTTATTGTGCATTTCAGCTATGCGAATGATTAAAAATCACATGCTTACGGCAACATGTTCCTCGCCATACCGTAGTAATCAGACGCCCGCCTGGCCATCGAATCCACGCATTTTAAAGGCCTCCGTTGTGGACGCAGGCATTATTGGTTAAGCCTAAGCCACCCCTCTGTCTTTGAACGACGCACATTCACCCGATTGGACAACACGCCTCAGAGCTGTTCTGATTGGCTAGACGCTAACGGAGCCCGAATAGGACAAACGCGACCGCAACACTAACGGTATTCTCCCATTTGTAATTTGGATTTTTAAAAATAACCATTCGTAAACAAGGAAACAAGCAATTTGTCAACCAAATCGTCCATATTTTGACGATACTTAGTGCTTCCAAAAGGTTATATTAGTTTGAGGAATTAGTTCTAGTAACCACATTCATTAAAGTGATTTAAAGTTTGGTGGTTTTTTTATTTACAAAGAAATCTCGAAAGCATTCATGGAAAGCATTCAGCTTCTTTAATTTTTTGTGGACAAATTCAGTTTGCAGAACAACTATCAGCCCTTTAGCGGTGTCAAGTAGGCACAGCTCCAAATCGCGAATTTGGTTTCCCTATTTCTCTTTAATATCAATGAAGCTGGCAAATAGAAGCTCCAAAACAACTGAGCAGTGACCGAAATTCAGTCATAGGCCCACAAGACATAGATTTGGACGATTTTCCACGAGATATGAATGATTACGTGAGTGTAGTCTTTTGACCTTGAGCTGACCAATGGTACATGAATTCATTCAGGATTTATCACTTGGAACACGGTAAGTGCTACGATTTTCGAAAGTCACCGATCTGAACATGTGCCCGCTTATTTGTAAGTCAATTGGTACCTACTTTGAAGATCTAGCAAATGAACATTTTTAGTTCAAACACCAAATGCGAAAGCATCCTGTCAGCGTTAATTTAACTGGCATTGCTATTTGAAAGTTGCAGCATTAAGTGGAAAATCGCGTCTAAGTAGTCGCAACAACGAATCGTCAATAGCTGAAAACTGATGAAAGCGTTTTCAGTGTGAAAACTTTTTTTAAAAGAAAAAAGTAGGAAACCCAATCTAATTGCCAAGGAGGATGTCAGCACTATCGGCACTAGAGCTTAAAGTGGGATTCGTGCGTTGTGTTTGAAGAGAACGTGACAGGGAACAACGATGTGGCAATGCTCACCAATGATTTCTCTGCCAATAGCAGCGATTTGCCCGAGTACACGAGAAACATGGTCCATAATTCAGTGCGGCTTTACGCTATTGTCTAGACGAACACCTCCCACACAAATAGGCACGGTACCGTTATTTATCCATCTGATCCGAATAGCTTTATAGCTGGGGACTGTAGAACATCTTGTCAGGAAGATATTGGGTTTCTGTAGAAAAATCAGTGAGGACTTTTGTGCTTCGTTCTTTGTTATAAAACTACACCTTTCCGCTTCATTACAGCCACACGCTACTGTCTAGCCGGGAACGTTAAATAACTTGTCAGGAAGATCCTGAGTTCTTGCAAAAAAAATCAGTGGGCACTTGTGACGGCTTGTTTGCTACGTTTCTCCTTATAAAACTGTTATGTGTGCCTTTTGTGTTTTTTTTTGGAGCTTGCTGTGATGACAATTGATGTAGTAATCGGTGTTTTCGGTTACTTGCCATCACAACATTTGGCTCGCGGCTGACTGATCAGCCCATTTGATGGCGCGCCTTCAGTAATAATTCCATATCGCCAATGACTTTAGTACTATGTTTACGTGCCATTTTAACGTAGGTTAAATTATCTACTTGCGACAATCTAGCCTAAAGCGTTCCAAGAAACTGTGAACACACATTACATTTTCACTATCAATCTCTCAAAACTTTATACTTGGCAGCATAGGTCAAAATTTGTGCGTGAATCAAGATTTCAACGGAAATTTCTCACGAATTCAACGATTAAGGTCAAAAAATTAGAAAAAATATAACACAGGACTTGATGTTGACTTATACTATCTCTTGGCACTGTGTAAATCCTTAGTAGTAGCAGTAGTGGTAGAAGTAGTATTAGTAGTATTTAAAGTATTACATGGCCTTCAGTAAGCCCAGCCGAATCAGCGTATATTGTACTAAAGGCATGAAATGCTTGAGCTCTTCAGGAACGTTGACTGGAGAATGCAATTTTGAGTTTCTGGCTGGAGAAATAGAAAATTATCGGGAGTTTGTTGAGATCAGGTGAGTATAGTGAAATTTAATACAAGACGAGAATTCATGTTGAAAACATTTCTATCATTGCCACAATGATACGTCACGTCGTCTTTTTACCTGCCCTACTAAGACAGGGGTCTGTTGCTTATCTTCTCATTGCGATTATTGGTTAATATGACAAGAAACATTGGATTAAGTCAATTAACTGGTCAGATTAATGTTCCTTTCTGAACCCAAAGTATTCATCTCCTTTTTCTTTGACAAATTTTTTCTTCTGCAACGACCACAACAACAACTGCTAAGAGCGACAACAAAGGACCCGTGATTTCTCTCTCATAATAATATGGTCTAGTGCTAGATCAGACAGCTCAATCACCTGAAACAACGGCGCAGGATTTTACCACGATGTGGAATCAGGCATAGGTGCAAAAATTTGTTCGCAAATAAACGGTAAAGAATTGATGCTTGGTTCGACAAATGAGTTTTTTTTCCAATTAATTTTTCAGTTCCACGAAAGTGTTCTATGTGGCACTTAACTGAGTAATTTAGTGCATTAGTGATTTCAACTTTAAAATATGGGCTAAAAGATAAATTATAGTACTCCACATCTATTAAAAATGCGACAAGTAAATGAGAAGGGGAACAGGTTAAGATGTAGTTAGTGTGTTAGAATACTAAATTAGAAAAAACTAATTGACAAAAACTCACTTTTCGGAAGTTTTGCTGGCACCACTTCCTCTAATACGCAAAAATATCGGGCCATAAAAAGGCGTTTTGATGATTCCAGGAGGTTTGATACTCTATTTGGATAATTTATTTTGTATTAAATCGACGCCGCAAGATTTCAATCAGAGCTACAAATAAATATAACGACGAATCCTTATTTAGAAATGCACCTTAATATTCCCCATTACCTGCGTCATAAAATTTTCGCAACTCCAGGCACAACTCGCAATGTTTTAACAAATGAGGAAAAATTTAAGCTTAAATGAAAACTTCATCTCCACTTTCCATGATACTTTCATAATCGCATATGATCAAGGAACTACTTAGTTAAATATCATGTTGTGGATCTGTGAAGGGCAACATGATGACTATAAAATTTTGCATCAAAAATTGATTTAACTCTTCTGCTTCTTAATTTAAACGTAAAATGGGGTTTCTGTGGTCAAACTCTAAGTTTAAAATTTGTCTTGAAAAAAATTTGTCTATGAAAGCAACATTAATTGGACAAAGCCTTTAGTTCTAAGCAGGAAGAGAAGCAAATCACTTTCTTTGTTTTGTAGCGTTGATTTAAAAGCACGTATTTAACACTCTGTAGATTACCCGAGCCCTAATAGGTAAAAGACTGGTACAACAGAACAGGCTTTATTGACCG